CTTTTGCCTTTTTCTTTTTTGGCTGCAGTCGCCGCGTGCTTCAATTCGTTGGATATCGTCGAACACGACGGTGGATGTATCGTATTGGGGTCCCCTGCTGCGTGGCTGCAAAGTGGCGCGTTCAAGTGGCTCTTGAAAAACTGCTACTAATTGGGCACGCGCTTGCGTGTGCCTGTGTGCGCACGTTTGTGTGAGTGAGTCGATCAGCATTTTCAGGTCAGTGAGTCTGAAGCAGCCGCCTACGAAAACAAATGATCTTGAGGCAGTTCGCATTGAAAACGGAAGCCAGACAGCATTGCTGGCTGTCCGCCGCAGGAGTGATTCGTTAGAACAGCCTGCAAGCGATTCGGTTAGGCTGGCTCCTAACATGTTTTGTCATAAACCTCTACACAAGCCGTACCCAAACACTAAATTGTTACCTTAATCTTAATGCTAGCTCTACTCTAAACCTATTTTCTGCAATTAAAATGGACCCAAACCTCGTGCCCAACCCCTACTCTGACCTTAACCCAAAAAGTGACCTTCCCCAAAATTTGTATCTGCAAGAAGCAAAAGGAACTTTGTTACCCATCGTTCCAAAAAACCTTTGAGTGCTATTTTTCGATGGCCAAATTTGCTCATTATGTAGGTCAGCCTTCTAAGAAGTAATTTTGAAGACACTAAGCCGATCATAAGCCGTGCTTTTTGGCTCAACCTTGAGAGTACTGCAAGTGTCACTCTATCTCTTCAGAGTACTCATGTGTGCGCGAAGGCTAGGACAAAATGCCAGGTAAAACCCTCATGGTGATCCTGGCTCATGCTCGTCTGTGCTCCATCCATTCATGTTAGGATGCTTCGTTCGTCAATATACCCACGCATCTGCTTAACACAGTTGCAAGCAATCATTCCAGACTCCGCCAGCCAAAAGTCTTTTCCGACATAATTCATGCACTTACCGGTTTTATAACAAATTCTGGCAAGTAGTTTGACCATTTAGCAAAGTTGTGGAGGATTCTCGTCTGTTTTTTAGAGGCACCAACCAGACAAGTGCCCAGATCCCATTCGTGCGGAACTAAACAAATAAAAAGTAAATTTTTAAAGGGACAGCGCAGTCAAAAGTGAATTTCTATTGCAGCAAATAGAAAGCCTAACACCTGGGCACCACTGAAGTGAAACGACAGTCTGATCATCTCGTGTCCCACGGGAGGGCACAGCGCCGCGTGGATTAGTGTTTTGTGAAGCAGACTTGTGAAGCCCCTCGCTCGCTTTCCTCACGAAATTCGGTGACAAAGTGAGTTTGGACAACTAAATTACAATATTAGCACTTTCAATCCCTTTTGGCTAGCAATGTGGTTGCCCGTACGTCGATAAAGTTTACCCGGAAACGCATCCGCCTGAAGTTTTCGGAAAGTCTTCAAAAAGCAATAATCTGAAACACGATACTTTACTGAAACCTTCTCAGCCCAACCAATTCACGTGCAAATGGACAGCCTGAATGTCTCATAAAGCTGACTCAAATGGGTGTTACCAAGACTTCTTTCTTTATCTTCCTCCTTTATCAAACACATATACATCAATTTAGCTATTTATGGCAAATGCCTAGAGGTCAGTCTGCAAGGAAGTTTGTGGAATCGATAATTTTTTGGCTCAGTTTCTCCGCATACCGCAGGTCAGTCATCGAGAAAGAAACAAATTGTATTGTATCAGCTGAAAATGGACAAATGAAAATACTTATTCACTGTTTAAATTCCTTAAAAAACGGCCTAGGGGCTTAATGAAGCTGGATTCAGGAGATTTTCTTAACGCAACAGATGTAAGCAGTTTTAAAGCATAAACAAAATGGTCAACTGATCAGAATTCCTCATTTTTCGAGCAACTAAGTTATTTTTAAAGAATTAGACTATCTACAGCATGGCCTAGTATTACTTACTCAGGGTTCGCTCGAAAAATTATCTCGAATATAAGTAATATAATACATTATATATTATAATGTAAATAAATACGCATGTTTATCTTACGGAAAGCAAGTGGACTTACAATTTATTTGTTCTTTTTTTCTGTGGCCCTTCAGAGGTATAATAAGTGGTGTAAGTTGAGACTCGTATTGAACTTCAAATTCGTCTGAGTACATTTGCTTCAGGGTCGGTTTGAAGAAGACAGTGAAGGAGCAGGAGAGTCCCGGGGCGACAGCGTTGTCTCCAGACTCTGGATAATGACCTGGATGCGAAAAAACACTAGTTAACATGTTTTGAAATAAATAAACAAAACTTTCCCATTCAAAAGTGCATCTGGGGTGACTTAGTTTTTATGAAGGTCAATAAACTGTATAAGTATGGTTACCTACAGCAGTAAAAACGGCACAGCAACTTGGTACACGTTTTTGCTTCGAAGGCGTGTGTTGGAAACAGATAATTGGACATCTGAAAAATGCTCCACATTTTGCGTCGCATAATGAACAGCTCCCTAAAATTTTTCAACTTTGTTCGCCTGTTCTACTTCGTTTTCATTAAATTCACTTGCTGAATAAAATGCAGGAGAGAATTACATGATCCGTCGATTTCAAACCAGTTGGTTTCCGTGTCCGGCTGTATACTTTACTGACAAAGTGAAACTTATTTCATCTTTAAATGCTATAACAGTGTAATGCATACGCATGAAAATAGCTATGTCATATTGTTGTATTCCAGCATGAAGCCTGACCCCAGACACAATCCAAAATTTCTGTGGGTTATTGACTGCATTTATGGTGTAGGACCGAAAACATACTACTTTGGTCCACGATTGAAATGGAGTTTTAATCAACAGCAGCAAATGCAAGTAATTCTAATATTCAGGTATCGTAAATGATCTGAAATATTAGTGGTTGAATTTACCTTCACTAATTTTGAAGAACTCTGACTTTGGTGGAATGACCCGGAGTGCACGAGTGAGTTTGGACACATTACGCAAGGTTATTTTTTTCTGAAAAAAAACGGAGCGATATAAAATAACCATCAGTGACAGTATTAAAACAGACATTGCGAAGCTCGCAGTTATTGATTAGAAGAATTTGCTGGACTTCGATTGAACAACGAAGTCTCTGAATTTTTACGTTCATTGTCATTGTTTGTATACATGCATGTTTGTTTAAATCAGTAAACACATCCGTGAAATTTGGCTTTGAAAATGAAGTGACTATTGGGCGAACTTGTTCTGAGAGTAATTGAGGTCAACAGGCGGTAAACGCGACCTTTCAATTTTAGCACTCTTTTGACGAAAATATTTCTTGATTAGAGAATTGCTAGACGAACGAGTTTGGCAACCGAATATAGTCAAGAACAACTCCTCTGTAAGTCACATTTCGGCTACCACTTAAGAAAGATACCATGATTTCTGTGAGTCAGTATTACTATGCCTCTTTTTCTGGTTTTATAATTTTCCAATAATTTTTTCTATCGCCATAGTTTATACTAGTTTAGTAGCTATTTTCTAGGTTTTGCCTTATTTTTAACACGTTTTGTTCGATTTTTAGGCATTAAGTGTATTTAGCACTACAAGGTTAACCGTATTATTAAGAAAGTCCTTCTAAAAATAAACTAAGAAAAGCAACACATATTGAGAGCTTGGATGACCAAAATATAAATAACATAATATAAATAACGTGATATTATATAATATAATATCAATTGAATAGAATACTTTTGAATTTTTAACATAGATTGCAAGTTAAAAGTTCGGTGAAGCTGCGGGCGTGGAATACTTTGATCAAATATTTTCGAGCAAGGAAAACTTAATCCGGATTCTACTGATCTATATTTGCCCGCAATATGCAGACTATAATGGGGTTGTAAATTGTGGATAATTTTAAAAAATAGAAATGCTAGAGTTTATTTCAGAATTCGAATTGCTAAGCGTAG